ACACACACACACACACACACACACACACACACAGAAGAGAGGCAGTCAAAATTTCCAACATGGGCCAGGAATTTAGCTCAGTGGTGCTGCCGCCTGCCTTGTAAGCAAAAGGTCCCAAGTTTGATCCCCAGTACCCTCTCCAAAAAAAAGTTCCAACATAAAAATAGTACATGTTTAAGAAGCTGGAAATGCCAGTTACTCTGGTTTGATCCTTATACATGCTTTGAATTATCACACTGTACCCCATAAACACATATAATTATTGTACCAACTAAAAATATATGACTATTTTGAAATGATTCTACAAACATGCACAAAACCCAATAACATAAAAATGGAAAAAATAGTTGGATCTAAGTGGTACATATCTGGGGTGCTCATATTATCATTCTTTCTACTTTTCTATATGTTTGAAATTTTCCGCAATGACATGTTCTTTAACATTTCTGTATCATTACATTCATGTCATTATTTTCTTTGTAAATGCACACCCATACCATTAATTGCCTGGCATTCCGCTGTAGATAACCAGTTATCATTGTTGGATATTTAACCAGATTTTAAAAACTATACCTAGCGTTTGCTATAAATAATGCAACCAGTGTTCTTATATATAAACTTGAAACTACATCTCTTATTCTTTCCCAATAACCTATTTCTAAATGTTGGTTTATAAGAAAAGAGATGGACAGATTTTTCAGTCTCTCTCTCTTCTTTCAAATTGCTTTGCAGAAAGCATACAAAGTAATGTCTCCCTGGGTGGATATGTGCATACTGATCTCACTGTGCTTTCACCAGCATTATGTGTACCGCCGATGGCGAACCTTTTAGAGTTTTCAGTGATACAAACGGCTCACTGTGGCCTGCGTGAAATAGGCTCACCACCACTGACTGTATATCATCTTTCTTTTCTAAATGTTAGTTTGTTTAGCTTAAAAATACCAGCTTGTTCTTAATTCACAGTCTTGGGCTCTTCATTGGTTCAATGGTCATTTGTGTTTTGTGGCCTATCCAGGTCGTATCCTCTGCCAATTTATCTGCTGGGGTGATTTCTTCTTCTGTGTGTTCTAATTCTTCATTTTCATTTTATCTTAGATTATCAGCCATCTTTTAATGTTGCTGACAGTGTACTTTGATATATAGAAAAATAACTTTACATGTGAAATTTCAAATGTATTTAAATGGAACTGTTTTCCACATTTCTCCTTTTTATGTCAGCTTCAGACCCTCTCCCTCCAGCCAACTCTGAATGCTGTGGGAGGTAAGAGGCCTGCAAATAGGAACAGGGCTCAGGTGCCACACACCTGGGCTCTGATGCCAGGTTTGCCCCCTAGTAAATATACAACCTTTGGCAGATTTCTTAATCTCACTGGCCACAGCTTGCTGATCACTGAAATGGTGAGGATGAAATTATCTGTTTCAAAGTGTTGCTTTAAGGAATAAATATGCTTAGTGCTGGTCCTGATATACAGTAGGTGCTGTGCAAGTATTTGCTTTTATTATTGCTTATTACACTGAGTCTGTGGAGTCCCATCATTTGGAAAGGAATTTTGTTTGCAAAGCTAATTTCTTAGCAGTGAAATAGAAAGTCAGATTTGCCCAGCCAGGTACCAAGCTGGTCACTGTGTTTGGTAACTTGAACTTCAATAGATATACTCCTATTTTACTTTTGTTAGATGTTAATTTTAAACCAACTACTTATATGTCCCCTGTACTACTGTGCCTTTGAGTCACAAGTGTGTGACTGAATACCTAAAGAAAATGCACAAAAAAGCAAAAACTAAGAACGTGCATCTCACCTATTAGGAGATGTATGTCCTGTGCCATGTACCAGGCCCCAGGGATTTTGTGGTAAGGTGTAGTCCCCATCTGGAGCTGTCCCTGTCTGCTAACGCCCCAGTCTGAGCTTGTAACCTGGAACAGGCAAACTCAGGATGTGTTCCAGGTGGTGACAACAGTGACTGGAGTGTGACGACCCAACTTCCCTCAACTGTAGCCTGTTTTCTGATCTGTCCTCTGGCCTTTGGATCCTGCTACCCCTCCATCATTCCCATCTTTATTTACAAGAGCCAAAACTCTATAGGAAAAAATAGGTAGTATCTATATATTTTTTTCTTTCCACCATGTAAAATGCACATTTTTCTATATTCATGAAAACAAAATTACGTAATAGAATTTAGATGTGGCTTCACATGTTTGTCCTTTGGGCTGTGTGGCATGGACAAAAAGACCTCTGGGACCTGATAAGTCAGGGTTCAAATCACATGTCAGCTGTGTTATGGGTAAATTATTCTACCTGTTTAAGCTTAGCTTCCTCATTTGCAAAATATTGATTAAACTTTGAATTATTTCAGTTAAATAGGTGTGTAAGATCTGGTGCTCTGTTCCACAGGAGGGGCTTTTTAGTTAACAGTAATGCACATTTCAGCAAAGCTGGGAAAAGGATTTTGAGTTTTATCACCACAAAGAAACAATAAGTGCTTAAAATGATGGGTATGCTACCTACCCTGATTTGATCATAACATGATGTATACATGAACCAAAGTAATCATGTTGTGTCCTGTAAATTATGCAATCATTGTGTCAATAAAAAATTAATAAAATAAAAACAAACATGATAAAGTATCATCTTCCTTATAGTGTTTCGAACACAGTGAGTATTCAATAAATGATAATTTATTATTTTTACAAATTGATATTTTCCAGTGTTTACCACAAAATGTATATAAACTTGAAAATAATTAAACACTCCAAAAGTCAGACATTGCTGCAATAGGTAGCCACATATTCTAGCTTCTTGCATCAGCCCCTTTGTTCCCATGAGCCTGGCAGCTGCATCTTGTCTGTCCTGGACCAAGAGTGCAGACTTGAGGTATTCTTGTCAGTGATGACATCCTTTTGCCCTGTATCCTTGGGCACGTGACCCTGTTGGGCCTGTTTTAAACAGATAAAATACTTCCCTTCTCTGAAGTTCTGTGGCCTTTGAGCCTTTTCCTCAATGGAAAAAGTTCTAATTCTGTTAGGTCTATCCCTTCATTCAACCAGACTCTCTCTTTCCTTCCCCATAACAACCCCCAGCTCCTTCCTTTCTTGGAGTATGGATGCCATTTTTCTGTAGCCTGTGAGCTCTGTAGTTCAACAGCTTTTACTTCCTACACAAGTGGCTCCACGCAGATGTCAATTCTAAAGGATCAGTGACTCTTCAGTGCAGATTTGAGTGATCTGTCATTAAACGTCTGCAACACCCAGTCTCCCTTTTCTTGTTCCATCCTCCCTTTCCTAGAAGATGGGACCAAGGATACATGGAAGGTTCCTTAGAGGACATTGGGGAAGCAGGCATGGCTGCAGGCTCTGTCTAGCCCAGGCACCTCCTGTGGAGAAGTTACCAAGCCTCTGGTGGACACCAGCCTGAGGGGATACCTGCTCCTCATCACACCTACACCCTCAGGCTGAGCTGTGACACCCAGAGGGAAGAGGGGCTGTGCTGGGCCTGACCTGACCTGGTCTCCTTTCTTCCTTTTGCAGACCATGGGGGATGTGAAGCTGGTTGCCTCATCACATGCATCCAAAACCTCCCTGAGTGTGGATCCTTCAAGGATTGGCTCCCCTCCACTGATGGAGGCCCCTGCTTTCATTCTGCCCCCTCGGAACCTCTGCATCAAAGAAGGAGCCACAGCCAAGTTTGAAGGGAGGGTAAGAAGTATGGCTGGATGACAGCCTTGTGGTGCTTTGGGCAGGGCCATTGTTCCTTCTGGAAGCTTTTCTTCAGCAGGCCAGAAATTGTAGAAGACTTGGTCTTCGTTTGGGCCGTCATATAACTGAATACCACTTTGCCCTGTTTCTTTAGTTTATGGTAAATTCTAGTCTGTGTTGGAGAAGGGATGGAGAGGGACATGTAAGCTGGCCATGTTGAGATATTTTGCCTTTGATGTAGGTTGTGTTCTAGGTACATGCTGCCGAATCATAGAAGACATGGCCTGATGGCAGAAAGAATACAGCTTGAGTTTAAATATGTGCCCCCACATCTGGACAATTGAGAACCCACTGATTTTTCTCTTGCCTTTTCCCTGATGGCAGTATTTAGTTAGTTAACCTTGAGTAATAGGATAAGAGATGATGGGATGAGACCCTTTGCTCTGTTCTTTTATGAGGCTTCCATTTCATCTTCTGCAAACAGACATGACGTGACACTTCTTTGTCACTTTGTATGAAATAGAAGAAGACAAGGACATCAAAGAATAGCTTAGAATGCCTAATGTTGTGCCCAGCCAGAAAAGAAGAAGACTGTAGGGGACTCTTTGGGTTGTCTGTGGCCTCTTCCAGCATGGGAGCTATTCTGTTTTCCTTACTCTGTTCACCTCCTCTCATTTCCATAGCAGGCAGCAAAGAAATGACAGGAAGACTGCAGGTGCTTAGAAATGGCTTAGAGGACCATAAAAAAGAGTAAAGGACTGATTCACTATAGATTAGGAATGAACCTTGGAAACATTTTGCTAAGTGAAAGAAGCTGCTCATAAAATAACAAATACTGCATGGCTTCACATACACAAATGTCCAAAATGGGAACATCAGTCAAGACAGAAATGGGGAAGGAAGGATCGGGGATGGGGCGGCACGGTGACTAATGGGAGCAGAGTTTCTTTTTGGGATGAAAATGGTATGAAACTTGTGTAGTAGTTGCCTAGCTTTACAGATATTCTTATTAAATATTGAATTATACCCATTAAAAATGAAACATCAAAGAAATGCCTTGGATAACAAAGTTGGTCTTATTTACATTCTTACTCTTCTGCCTTCCTTCCTGCTTATTTGTTTGTTTGTTTTGAGACAAGGTCTCGTTGTGTAGCTCAGGCTGGTCTTGAACTCACTATGTAGCCCAGGCTGGTCTCGAACTCAGCGATCCTCCTGCCTCTACCTCCCAAGAGCTGGGATTGCAGGCGTGCGCCACCACACTGTTTCTAAAAGATGAGCTCCTTCATTGATTCAGGAGGACATGGAGGTAAAGAGACGGGGCAGCTTCCTTACATCCAATGGTGCCCTTGCTTTCATTGCTGCCTTGGAGTTGTGTAATTTGGGAACTTTACAGAATGAGCACTGGCTCAGCAGGCAGCACACCTGAAGTCTCACAGCTTCAGTGAATCTCAGCTTTCCTTATCTGAAAAAAAAAAAAAATTTGGCTGTTTCTGGTATACATGGTATGAGAAGAAAAGCTCATGGTAAAAGGTACTTCATGATGCCCAGTAGTGTAGCAATGTAGCATTTCTCTTACTGGGTCAAAATTTATGTAACACATTTAGCTGTTATAAAGTGAACAATTCCATGTCATTGGATGCATTCACAATGTTGTATTAGTCAGATTTCCGTTACGGTAACAAAATACCTGAGATGAACCAATTTAATCAGAGGAAAGGTTTGTTTCTGTTCATAGTTGAAGAGGTTTCAGTCCATGATATCTTGGCCCCACATTTTTTGAGCATGTGGCACGGCAGACCATTATGGTGGGGAGTACATGGTGAAGAAAGCTGCTCATCTCATGGTGAGCAGGAAGCAGAGAGAGAGAAACAGGGAGTGGCTGGAGTCCCAGTACCTGCTTCAAGGACGGGCTCCCAACTACTGCACTGATGGTATAAATCACGCCAAACATTCACAAAGAGAATGCTACACTTCAAGAATACTGCAGTAAGCACTGCGATAGTTTGAGTCTTGAATGATCAAAGGCTGCTGTGTTAAGGCTGGGTCCCCAGCCCACAGCACAACTGGGAAGTAGTGGAATCTTTAGGAGAAGGGACCTAGATGAAGTCAGGTCATTGGATGCAGGCTCTCTGTGTGCTTGGTGAGCCAGAGTATAGGGGTACTTTCTACTCCCCACCTGCCTGGGATTAGCTAGAACAGCTCCCAGCAGTGCACTGGTGCGGAGTGCAGCGGAGGAGGGCTCTCCAGGGAGTGTTCACACAAGGTTTGATTAACTCCAGGAGGAGAAGGTGTAGGAGAAAATGTTCTTCAAATGAGTGTGCTGCAGGTGTGTGTTGTTTCTGCAGTAAAGAACACAGAGACATTTGTTTCAGAGAAGGACCACCGCCAGCAACCCAGAATGAGAAAGCTGGTTATTTTGATACCAGAGAGGAAGGTGAGCTGAGGACATTTCTGCACTGGTGCCCTCACAGGAGTAAAAAGCAAGGTGTTGGCACAGAGTGAGTGTCAGACCTTTGAGCAGGAATCACTAGTATGAAAGACTGCATCCCCAGGGTGGGGGTTCCCTCTGGACCTGGTAACCTCTACCTGCTGCCTCCTGACCCTGATCACAGTGGCCTGCCTCCCACTGGGCACACAGCCTGCTAAGACCAGAGCTTGGTCTGCACCAGGCTTGGTGTCTGTCTCAACTCCACAGGGCCTCAGCTGTCTGGGGATTGAGCTCCTGCAGAGCTCTTCAGAGCACATGTTTTAAAACTGTGCCTTCAATATTCAGTTCTGTACTCACAGGTCCATGTCACAGTCCAGGAGGCCTTTCTACTGCCCAAGGACCTCAACCAGGTCCCTGTGCCCTCTCCAAGTTGCAATCCCTGATGAAGAGTCCCTAGGATGTGAGATCCCCCACCCCCACCGAGAAACACAGTAGACACAGCAAGAAAAAGTTATACAGGTTTGCTCCCACTGCCTCCAGAGCTGGTGGGTACTTTTTGGTTTTATTCCTGAAAGAGGTAAGCACTGCCACCACCCCCCTATGTACCATTTCCTTCTTATATCTATTTTGTACAAAAGACTAACTGGACTCCTTCCTCCAAAAAAGCACAGGTTCCTATCGAGAAGAGGAGAGTGACTTAAGTATGACCCTCATCTCTGTGGGTCTCAGTTCCTTGCATCCTTTAGGGCTTTTTCCAATTTCTGAAAGATGCTTTGGACAGCCAGCATATGACTCATTGCCATTCCCCCTTTCCCTGCCCTTTTCCGTATTAGAGGCCACTCTTGGGGCCATCTTTACAGCTCAGAGTGGCCCACTGACACATTTGAGCTGAAGTCATTGAGAAAGCTTATGGGAAAGCTAGTTCCTTCTGTTTAAAAGGGGAGAAAATGAAAAAGATAGCATTGGTGTTCTCATATTCCACCCCTCTCCTGCTTTCTGCCTTGTGCTGAGAGAGCCATTTATAAACCGTGAGGCAAGAAGCCAGCACACTAAGGATTGGCTGGAAGCAGGAACGAAGATGCTCAGCAGCTAAGAGACAGAAATCCTGAGGCTGAAAGACTCCCTAACATAAGATCTTTGGCTGCAGGAAATTTTACAAAAATGATTCCTAACTGATGAACACCTCATAAGATGTGTGTGGAGACAGCTTCTCCTTAAGTGATGGTGTTAAATAGAGGAGAAGACATAGCATCAGGAGGGACTATGAAACTCTTTCAGAACTTACCACTTCTACTCACCATGCTGGGGTGCAGTTTTCTGAACGTGGCCTTGCAAGTCAGAGCATCCTAGAAGAACTCACGCCTCCCTGTCTCTGGCCATTTGGCTTGAATCGGCGAGGCCTAGGGAAAGAAGCCATCCCTGTGGAGGTGTGTGGTGAGCTAATGGCTTTATGGAGCAATACTGTTAAATCAGGGCCATTTGACTCAGTCTGTCTTGGCTGAAGCTGCTTTTTTTTTCTGCCAGCCCAAAGTTCAAGATTATATTTTCAGAAAATCATAAACTTTTGGCTCTTTATCTCATCAGTGCTGCCTTTAGACCTCAGAGCCCCTGCCTGAGCTCAAATTCTAGAAATCTGTGTTCCTTCTTCCAGCTGTACCCTATCCCAGGGCGGGGAGTCTATGTATTGGGCACCCAAGATCCAGGACCTTCCGGCCAGGTGGCCTGAGTACCTCCCAAAGCCTGCATGGGCCTCTTCCTGTGCACAATCACTGCGAGGCCTGGGAGGCATGGTTAGGGGCATTTGTTTGTGGTGGAGCTCTATGGTTCAGGAAGACCCCACAGGCAGAAGATGTGTTGGGTGGGACTGCACTGTTGCTATGAGTCATTGCTGGGCCTTGGTGCTGGCTGGGGCTTCTGTGTGCACAGAACCAGGCCTCAGAGGCAGCGGCTGACTGAGATGCCTCTCACTGTTCTGTGGCCCATGTAGGCAGGTACAGCATGGATGCACTGGGCTTCTCAACCCCAGGTTCAATATGAAAAGAGTCGGCATTGGGAAAACTCCCCTTTGCCCTGGAATGTATTCTTATTTTTAAAAAAAGGAAATGTGGTGACAGGGCCTGGCTGTGTTGCAAATCTGAGGATCTAATACTTTAGTGCCTTTTTGTATGTATGTGTGGTGCTGGGAATGGAACCCAAGGCCTCACACATGCTAGGTGGCAAGTGCTGCACCACTGAGATGCACCTCAGTACACTTCAGTGCCTGTTGAGGTTTCAGCCAGACTATTGGTCCCCTTGTCACTGATGGAGGCCTTGGGATTAGCCTGGCCTTCTCAAGGTATGTTTGTGTGTAAGGTGTGGATGGCAGGGGAAGGGAATATGAGGAGACCTGACTGAGAAAAGTGGGTGATTCCCTAGTTTCCACTTTGACTGGCAGGGGTGTGTTCTTGCTGCTCCATTGAAACACATGAGAATAACTTTAAGGAGGAAAGGGGCTTTGGGCTCACAGTTTCAGAGGTTTCAGTCCCTGAACAGCTGACTCCATTGTTTCTCTACTTGTGGTGAGGCGAGGCAT